AGCTGCTCTCTGCTCTCTACAGTTGTGCAAGTGAGAGCGAGTGGGAGTGTGTGTGTGAGAGCGAGTGGGACTGGGAGTGTGAACGGGTCGAACAGTCGCGCACCTGTTCCCCTGGGTCGAACCCCATCACGGTCATGGCAGAGCGAGTGCGACTAAAAGTGCAGTGGAGCGCGAGTGTGAGTGTGGCGGTGTGCGTGAGAGAGGGTGGGAGTGTGAGTCGGACTGTGGGTAAGTTTCGCTACCCAGTCGATCACCTGTTCCTGTGGGTCGAACCCCATAAGGTTCATGGAAGAGCGTGTGGATTCATACTCCATCACGTTGCTGTCAATAGTTCCTTGTACCTCGTAGCAGTCAGTCAGTCAGTAAGTCAGTCAGTCAGCCAGCCAGCCAGCCAGCCAGCCAGCCAGCCAGCCAGCCAGCCAGCCAGCCAGCCAGCCAGCCAGCCAGCCAGCCAGCCAGCCAGCCAGCCAGCCAGCCAGCCAGCCAGCCAGCCAGCCAGCCAGCCAGCCAGCCAGCCAGCCAGCCAGCCAGCCAGCCAGCCAGCCAGCCAGCCAGCCAGCCAGCCAGCCAGCCAGCCAGCCAGCCAGCCAGCCAGCCAGCCAGCCAGCCAGCCAGCCAGCCAGCCAGCCAGCCAGCCAGCCAGCCAGCCAGCCAGCCAGCCAGCCAGCCAGCCAGCCAGCCAGCCAGCCAGCCAGCCAGCCAGCCAGCCAGCCAGCCAGCCAGCCAGCCAGCCAGCCAGCCAGCCAGCCAGCCAGCCAGCCAGCCAGCCAGCCAGCCAGCCAGCCAGCCAGCCAGCCAGCCAGCCAGCCAGCCAGCCAGCCAGCCAGCCAGCCAGCCAGCCAGCCAGCCAGCCAGCCAGCCAGCCAGCCAGCCAGCCAGCCAGCCAGCCAGCCAGCCAGCCAGCCAGCCAGCCAGCCAGCCAGCCAGCCAGCCAGCCAGCCAGCCAGCCAGCCAGCCAGCCAGCCAGCCAGCCAGCCAGCCAGCCAGCCAGCCAGCCAGCCAGCCAGCCAGCCAGCCAGCCAGCCAGCCAGCCAGCCAGCCAGCCAGCCAGCCAGCCAGCCAGCCAGCCAGCCAGCCAGCCAGCCAGCCAGCCAGCCAGCCAGCCAGCCAGCCAGCCAGCCAGCCAGCCAGCCAGCCAGCCAGCCAGCCAGCCAGCCAGCCAGCCAGCCAGCCAGCCAGCCAGCCAGCCAGCCAGCCAGCCAGCCAGCCAGCCAGCCAGCCAGCCAGCCAGCCAGCCAGCCAGCCAGCCAGCCAGCCAGCCAGCCAGCCAGCCAGCCAGCCAGCCAGCCAGCCAGCCAGCCAGCCAGCCAGCCAGCCAGCCAGCCAGCCAGCCAGCCAGCCAGCCAGCCAGCCAGCCAGCCAGCCAGCCAGCCAGCCAGCCAGCCAGCCAGCCAGCCAGCCAGCCAGCCAGCCAGCCAGCCAGCCAGCCAGCCAGCCAGCCAGCCAGCCAGCCAGCCAGCCAGCCAGCCAGCCAGCCAGCCAGCCAGCCAGCCAGCCAGCCAGCCAGCCAGCCAGCCAGCCAGCCAGCCAGCCAGCCAGCCAGCCAGCCAGCCAGCCAGCCAGCCAGCCAGCCAGCCAGCCAGCCAGCCAGCCAGCCAGCCAGCCAGCCAGCCAGCCAGCCAGCCAGCCAGCCAGCCAGCCAGCCAGCCAGCCAGCCAGCCAGCCAGCCAGCCAGCCAGCCAGCCAGCCAGCCAGCCAGCCAGCCAGCCAGCCAGCCAGCCAGCCAGCCAGCCAGCCAGCCAGCCAGCCAGCCAGCCAGCCAGCCAGCCAGCCAGCCAGCCAGCCAGCCAGCCAGCCAGCCAGCCAGCCAGCCAGCCAGCCAGCCAGCCAGCCAGCCAGCCAGCCAGCCAGCCAGCCAGCCAGCCAGCCAGCCAGCCAGCCAGCCAGCCAGCCAGCCAGCCAGCCAGCCAGCCAGCCAGCCAGCCAGCCAGCCAGCCAGCCAGCCAGCCAGCCAGCCAGCCAGCCAGCCAGCCAGCCAGCCAGCCAGCCAGCCAGCCAGCCAGCCAGCCAGCCAGCCAGCCAGCCAGCCAGCCAGCCAGCCAGCCAGCCAGCCAGCCAGCCAGCCAGCCAGCCAGCCAGCCAGCCAGCCAGCCAGCCAGCCAGCCAGCCAGCCAGCCAGCCAGCCAGCCAGCCAGCCAGCCAGCCAGCCAGCCAGCCAGCCAGCCAGCCAGCCAGCCAGCCAGCCAGCCAGCCAGCCAGCCAGCCAGCCAGCCAGCCAGCCAGCCAGCCAGCCAGCCAGCCAGCCAGCCAGCCAGCCAGCCAGCCAGCCAGCCAGCCAGCCAGCCAGCCAGCCAGCCAGCCAGCCAGCCAGCCAGCCAGCCAGCCAGCCAGCCAGCCAGCCAGCCAGCCAGCCAGCCAGCCAGCCAGCCAGCCAGCCAGCCAGCCAGCCAGCCAGCCAGCCAGCCAGCCAGCCAGCCAGCCAGCCAGCCAGCCAGCCAGCCAGCCAGCCAGCCAGCCAGCCAGCCAGCCAGCCAGCCAGCCAGCCAGCCAGCCAGCCAGCCAGCCAGCCAGCCAGCCAGCCAGCCAGCCAGCCAGCCAGCCAGCCAGCCAGCCAGCCAGCCAGCCAGCCAGCCAGCCAGCCAGCCAGCCAGCCAGCCAGCCAGCCAGCCAGCCAGCCAGCCAGCCAGCCAGCCAGCCAGCCAGCCAGCCAGCCAGCCAGCCAGCCAGCCAGCCAGCCAGCCAGCCAGCCAGCCAGCCAGCCAGCCAGCCAGCCAGCCAGCCAGCCAGCCAGCCAGCCAGCCAGCCAGCCAGCCAGCCAGCCAGCCAGCCAGCCAGCCAGCCAGCCAGCCAGCCAGCCAGCCAGCCAGCCAGCCAGCCAGCCAGCCAGCCAGCCAGCCAGCCAGCCAGCCAGCCAGCCAGCCAGCCAGCCAGCCAGCCAGCCAGCCAGCCAGCCAGCCAGCCAGCCAGCCAGCCAGCCAGCCAGCCAGCCAGCCAGCCAGCCAGCCAGCCAGCCAGCCAGCCAGCCAGCCAGCCAGCCAGCCAGCCAGCCAGCCAGCCAGCCAGCCAGCCAGCCAGCCAGCCAGCCAGCCAGCCAGCCAGCCAGCCAGCCAGCCAGCCAGCCAGCCAGCCAGCCAGCCAGCCAGCCAGCCAGCCAGCCAGCCAGCCAGCCAGCCAGCCAGCCAGCCAGCCAGCCAGCCAGCCAGCCAGCCAGCCAGCCAGCCAGCCAGCCAGCCAGCCAGCCAGCCAGCCAGCCAGCCAGCCAGCCAGCCAGCCAGCCAGCCAGCCAGCCAGCCAGCCAGCCAGCCAGCCAGCCAGCCAGCCAGCCAGCCAGCCAGCCAGCCAGCCAGCCAGCCAGCCAGCCAGCCAGCCAGCCAGCCAGCCAGCCAGCCAGCCAGCCAGCCAGCCAGCCAGCCAGCCAGCCAGCCAGCCAGCCAGCCAGCCAGCCAGCCAGCCAGCCAGCCAGCCAGCCAGCCAGCCAGCCAGCCAGCCAGCCAGCCAGCCAGCCAGCCAGCCAGCCAGCCAGCCAGCCAGCCAGCCAGCCAGCCAGCCAGCCAGCCAGCCAGCCAGCCAGCCAGCCAGCCAGCCAGCCAGCCAGCCAGCCAGCCAGCCAGCCAGCCAGCCAGCCAGCCAGCCAGCCAGCCAGCCAGCCAGCCAGCCAGCCAGCCAGCCAGCCAGCCAGCCAGCCAGCCAGCCAGCCAGCCAGCCAGCCAGCCAGCCAGCCAGCCAGCCAGCCAGCCAGCCAGCCAGCCAGCCAGCCAGCCAGCCAGCCAGCCAGCCAGCCAGCCAGCCAGCCAGCCAGCCAGCCAGCCAGCCAGCCAGCCAGCCAGCCAGCCAGCCAGCCAGCCAGCCAGCCAGCCAGCCAGCCAGCCAGCCAGCCAGCCAGCCAGCCAGCCAGCCAGCCAGCCAGCCAGCCAGCCAGCCAGCCAGCCAGCCAGCCAGCCAGCCAGCCAGCCAGCCAGCCAGCCAGCCAGCCAGCCAGCCAGCCAGCCAGCCAGCCAGCCAGCCAGCCAGCCAGCCAGCCAGCCAGCCAGCCAGCCAGCCAGCCAGCCAGCCAGCCAGCCAGCCAGCCAGCCAGCCAGCCAGCCAGCCAGCCAGCCAGCCAGCCAGCCAGCCAGCCAGCCAGCCAGCCAGCCAGCCAGCCAGCCAGCCAGCCAGCCAGCCAGCCAGCCAGCCAGCCAGCCAGCCAGCCAGCCAGCCAGCCAGCCAGCCAGCCAGCCAGCCAGCCAGCCAGCCAGCCAGCCAGCCAGCCAGCCAGCCAGCCAGCCAGCCAGCCAGCCAGCCAGCCAGCCAGCCAGCCAGCCAGCCAGCCAGCCAGCCAGCCAGCCAGCCAGCCAGCCAGCCAGCCAGCCAGCCAGCCAGCCAGCCAGCCAGCCAGCCAGCCAGCCAGCCAGCCAGCCAGCCAGCCAGCCAGCCAGCCAGCCAGCCAGCCAGCCAGCCAGCCAGCCAGCCAGCCAGCCAGCCAGCCAGCCAGCCAGCCAGCCAGCCAGCCAGCCAGCCAGCCAGCCAGCCAGCCAGCCAGCCAGCCAGCCAGCCAGCCAGCCAGCCAGCCAGCCAGCCAGCCAGCCAGCCAGCCAGCCAGCCAGCCAGCCAGCCAGCCAGCCAGCCAGCCAGCCAGCCAGCCAGCCAGCCAGCCAGCCAGCCAGCCAGCCAGCCAGCCAGCCAGCCAGCCAGCCAGCCAGCCAGCCAGCCAGCCAGCCAGCCAGCCAGCCAGCCAGCCAGCCAGCCAGCCAGCCAGCCAGCCAGCCAGCCAGCCAGCCAGCCAGCCAGCCAGCCAGCCAGCCAGCCAGCCAGCCAGCCAGCCAGCCAGCCAGCCAGCCAGCCAGCCAGCCAGCCAGCCAGCCAGCCAGCCAGCCAGCCAGCCAGCCAGCCAGCCAGCCAGCCAGCCAGCCAGCCAGCCAGCCAGCCAGCCAGCCAGCCAGCCAGCCAGCCAGCCAGCCAGCCAGCCAGCCAGCCAGCCAGCCAGCCAGCCAGCCAGCCAGCCAGCCAGCCAGCCAGCCAGCCAGCCAGCCAGCCAGCCAGCCAGCCAGCCAGCCAGCCAGCCAGCCAGCCAGCCAGCCAGCCAGCCAGCCAGCCAGCCAGCCAGCCAGCCAGCCAGCCAGCCAGCCAGCCAGCCAGCCAGCCAGCCAGCCAGCCAGCCAGCCAGCCAGCCAGCCAGCCAGCCAGCCAGCCAGCCAGCCAGCCAGCCAGCCAGCCAGCCAGCCAGCCAGCCAGCCAGCCAGCCAGCCAGCCAGCCAGCCAGCCAGCCAGCCAGCCAGCCAGCCAGCCAGCCAGCCAGCCAGCCAGCCAGCCAGCCAGCCAGCCAGCCAGCCAGCCAGCCAGCCAGCCAGCCAGCCAGCCAGCCAGCCAGCCAGCCAGCCAGCCAGCCAGCCAGCCAGCCAGCCAGCCAGCCAGCCAGCCAGCCAGCCAGCCAGCCAGCCAGCCAGCCAGCCAGCCAGCCAGCCAGCCAGCCAGCCAGCCAGCCAGCCAGCCAGCCAGCCAGCCAGCCAGCCAGCCAGCCAGCCAGCCAGCCAGCCAGCCAGCCAGCCAGCCAGCCAGCCAGCCAGCCAGCCAGCCAGCCAGCCAGCCAGCCAGCCAGCCAGCCAGCCAGCCAGCCAGCCAGCCAGCCAGCCAGCCAGCCAGCCAGCCAGCCAGCCAGCCAGCCAGCCAGCCAGCCAGCCAGCCAGCCAGCCAGCCAGCCAGCCAGCCAGCCAGCCAGCCAGCCAGCCAGCCAGCCAGCCAGCCAGCCAGCCAGCCAGCCAGCCAGCCAGCCAGCCAGCCAGCCAGCCAGCCAGCCAGCCAGCCAGCCAGCCAGCCAGCCAGCCAGCCAGCCAGCCAGCCAGCCAGCCAGCCAGCCAGCCAGCCAGCCAGCCAGCCAGCCAGCCAGCCAGCCAGCCAGCCAGCCAGCCAGCCAGCCAGCCAGCCAGCCAGCCAGCCAGCCAGCCAGCCAGCCAGCCAGCCAGCCAGCCAGCCAGCCAGCCAGCCAGCCAGCCAGCCAGCCAGCCAGCCAGCCAGCCAGCCAGCCAGCCAGCCAGCCAGCCAGCCAGCCAGCCAGCCAGCCAGCCAGCCAGCCAGCCAGCCAGCCAGCCAGCCAGCCAGCCAGCCAGCCAGCCAGCCAGCCAGCCAGCCAGCCAGCCAGCCAGCCAGCCAGCCAGCCAGCCAGCCAGCCAGCCAGCCAGCCAGCCAGCCAGCCAGCCAGCCAGCCAGCCAGCCAGCCAGCCAGCCAGCCAGCCAGCCAGCCAGCCAGCCAGCCAGCCAGCCAGCCAGCCAGCCAGCCAGCCAGCCAGCCAGCCAGCCAGCCAGCCAGCCAGCCAGCCAGCCAGCCAGCCAGCCAGCCAGCCAGCCAGCCAGCCAGCCAGCCAGCCAGCCAGCCAGCCAGCCAGCCAGCCAGCCAGCCAGCCAGCCAGCCAGCCAGCCAGCCAGCCAGCCAGCCAGCCAGCCAGCCAGCCAGCCAGCCAGCCAGCCAGCCAGCCAGCCAGCCAGCCAGCCAGCCAGCCAGCCAGCCAGCCAGCCAGCCAGCCAGCCAGCCAGCCAGCCAGCCAGCCAGCCAGCCAGCCAGCCAGCCAGCCAGCCAGCCAGCCAGCCAGCCAGCCAGCCAGCCAGCCAGCCAGCCAGCCAGCCAGCCAGCCAGCCAGCCAGCCAGCCAGCCAGCCAGCCAGCCAGCCAGCCAGCCAGCCAGCCAGCCAGCCAGCCAGCCAGCCAGCCAGCCAGCCAGCCAGCCAGCCAGCCAGCCAGCCAGCCAGCCAGCCAGCCAGCCAGCCAGCCAGCCAGCCAGCCAGCCAGCCAGCCAGCCAGCCAGCCAGCCAGCCAGCCAGCCAGCCAGCCAGCCAGCCAGCCAGCCAGCCAGCCAGCCAGCCAGCCAGCCAGCCAGCCAGCCAGCCAGCCAGCCAGCCAGCCAGCCAGCCAGCCAGCCAGCCAGCCAGCCAGCCAGCCAGCCAGCCAGCCAGCCAGCCAGCCAGCCAGCAGTCAGTCAGTCAGTCAGTCAGTCAGTCAGTCAGTCAGTCAGTCAGTCAGTCAGTCAGTCGGTTACCTGCTCCCTTGGGTCGAACCCCATAACGTTCATGGCAGAGCGAGTGGATTCATACTCCATCGCGTTGCTGTTCTTTCCGGGCAGCTCGTAGCAGTCGCTCTGCGCCAAGTAGTAAAAATTTGATCCCCGCTCGCCCTCCGTGGGCAGAGAAAACTTTTCTGCTTCCTGTGCGGTGTGGTCCGTGTGGACAGGTGGGAAGAGGAGGCGGGGGGTTGAGGGGGGGTGGGAAAGGGGGGAGGGTTTGGGGGAAAGAATAAGAGCAAGGGGAATGGGAGAGGGAGGAAAAGGGCAACCGGGAGGGAGAAGGGCAACGGCTCCATCTCTGCTTCTAACGGTATGGACAAACAAACAGGGAGGGGGACATCCTCAGACCAAAGACAATCGCATTCTCCCCTCACTCCCTCACTCACTCCCTCTCTAACTCCTCACTCACTCACTCGCTCACTCTCTCAATCACTCACTCACCTCAGGTGTGGCCCCATAGTGCAGCTGATAGAAGCAGTGATAGGAGTGCTTAGGGCAACCGATCTGCACCACTTTGTAACAGGAAGGTTGACTCGAACACACACATACACCATCACAACACGCTCACTCCTGCAGTTACTCGCTCATTCACCCACTCACTCACTCACCTCGGTTGTGGCACCATAACGCAGCTGGTAGAAGCAATGGTAGGAGCGCTCAGGGCTACCGATCTGCACCACTCTTTACCATTCTCTCTCTTACTTTCTCACTCACCTTCCTCACACTCTCACCTCAGGCGTGGCCCCATAGAGAAGCTGGTAGAAGCAGTGGTAGGAGCGCTCAGGGCTACCGATCTGCACCACTCTTTACCATTCTCTCTCTTACTTTCTCACTCACCTTCCTCACACTCTCACCTCAGGCGTGGCCCCATAGAGAAGCTGGTAGAAGCAGTGGTAGGAGCGCTCAGGGCTACCGATCTGCACCACTCTTTACCATTCTCTCTCTTACTTTCTCACACACCTTCCTCACACTCTCACCTCAGGCGTGGCCCCATAGAGAAGCTGGTAGAAGCAGTGATAGGAGCGCTTAGGGCGATTGATCTGCACCACTCTTTACCATTCTCTCACTCACTTTCTCACTCACCCACTCACCCACTCACTCACTCACCTCAGGCGTGGCACCATAGAGCAGCTGATAGAAGCAGTGATACGAGCGCTCAGGGCTACCGATCTGCACCACTCTGGACCGCTCCAGCAGGTACGACCGAATGGCTGCTCCTGTCACCCTGCCATCGCTGTCAAAGTGAATCTCAATGAACTTGCCGAAGCGACTGGTGGTGAGAGGGGTGCGGGATGGGGGGAAATGAATGAGCAGAGGCAAGTGTGCGGAGGAAGGGTGTGTCAGCAGGGGCTTTGGCAACTAAATGGCTGCCCCTGTCACCCTGCCATCGCTGTCAAAGTGAATCTCAATGAACTTGCCAAAGCGACTGGGGGGGGGGGAGGGAGGGGGGGGTGGGAGGGAGGGGAGGAAAGAATGGGCAGAGCAGAGGACGTGAGTGGGAAGGGAGGGGTGTGTCGGGGCCACCTGTTCCTGTCTCCCTGCCATCGCTGTCAAAGTGAATTTCAATGAACTTGCCAAAGCGACTGGTGGTATGCGTGGGGGTGCGGGGAGGGGCGAGAGGGAAAGGCAAAAGCGCAGGTACGATCAATTTGCTGCCCCTGTCACCCTGCCATCACTGTCAAAGTGAATCTCTTGCCAAAATGACTGGCGGGGGGTTGTGGAGAATAGGGCAGGGGAGAGGGAGTGGGAAGGGAAGAATGTCTCGGGGTTGTATGAGGAGCTTCAGAAAGAGTGCTGTCAACCACCCCTGTCTGTCAACCACCCTTGGCACCCCTGCCACCCCTGTCAATCACCCCTGCCAAGATACCCAAGTGTCTCACCTCGAGTTGTTGTTACGCACTGTCTTGGCGTTCCCAAACGTCTCAAGGACTTGGTTGGACTGGGAAGAGAAGGGAGAAGGAGGAAGAGGGAGGGGGGAATGAGGGGGACAAGGGAGGATGAGGGGAGAGGGGGATGAGGGGAGAGGAGGATGAGGGGAGAGGAGGTTGAGGGGAGAGGGGGATGAGGGGAGAGGGGGATGAGGGGAGAGGGGGATGAGTTGTTATTGCGCAATGTCGTGGCGTTCCCGAATGTCTCAAGCACTTGGTTGGACTGGGATGGAGGGGAGAACGGGGGAAGCGAGGGAAGATGACGAAATGGGGGAACGAGGGGGATGAGGGAAGGAGGAGGGGCGAGCAGCAGAGGAGGATGAGGGGGACAGGGGGGAAAGGAAGGAAGAAGGGGGAGTGAGTTTGTTCGAGTGGGCGAGACTGGGAAGTGATTGAGTTGACTTTTGAGTCGACTCAAAAGACGGGGGGAAAGGAAGGAAGAAGGGGGAGTGAGTTTGTTCGAGTGAGCGAGACTGGGAAGTGATTGAGTTGACTTTTGAGTCGACTCAAAAGACAGGGGGGAAAGGAAGGAAGAAGGGGGAGTGAGTTTGTTCGAGTGAGCGAGACTGGGAAGTGATTGAGTTGACTTTTGAGTCGACTCAAAAGACAGGGGGGAAAGGAAGGAAGAAGGGGGAGTGAGTTTGTTCGAGTGGGCGAGACTGGGAAGTGATTGAGCTGAGCTGCAATTGAAAGAATAGGAGAGGAGACAAGTGCCCATACTTTCTCAGCCTTGCCTATTTCAACCCCCAGCGGCAGCAGCAACAGCCTTATCCGCAACCCCTGCCCCTGCCATGCGCTTCCTCTCTCAATATCCACCCCATTCAACCCCCACACTCAACCCACACCCACTCCTAACCCACCCTACCCCACTCACCTGCAGCACTCTCTCAACACACTGAGTGGACGAAGCAGACTCCACTGCTTCCACCCCTCCCCGCCTGCCTCTCCTCCCTCCCCCCATTCCCACAGCCCCAGCAGCAGCAGCAGCGGCCTTATCCGCCACCCCTGCCCCCGCCAGGTACTCCATGACCAGCTTGGTGGTCTCTGTCTTGCCAGCGCCGCTCTCCCCACTGATTAAAACCGACTGGCTGCGCCCCGCCTCCCTCATCGACCTATTTGAGGGTGTGTGGGTGTGTGTGGGGTGTGGAGTGAGTGCATGAGAGTGTGGGTGTGAAGGAGTGAGTGCGTGTGAGTGTAGGTGGGGGAAAGAGGGGAGTGAGAGGAGAGGGGGGGGGGGGGGGGGGGGGGGGGGGGGTGAGGTTAGCAGGGTGGGTGGGATCAGCGACCCCTGCCCTGGGAAGTAGCAGCAGCAGCCTTATCTGCCACCCCTGCCCCCGCCAGGTACTCCGTGACGAGCTTGGTGGTCTCTGTCTTGCGGGCATCAAAACGCATGCATCAGATCTACATGTGCGTCCAGGTGCATGCATGCATACACCCATGCTCACGCACCTGCACACGCACATTGTCACACACCTACACACGCACATTCTCACACACCTGCACACGCACATTCTCACGCACCTGCACACGCACATTCTCACGCACCTGTAAGCATGGTCGGCGATGGCGAGCACAAGTGGGCTGAGCTGAGCTGCCCCAGTGGTACATTGCGGTACTGGACCGCTCTTGAGGGCACATACACAGCATGCATCAGGTCTGTGTGTGCGTCTATATGCATTCACGCATACACACACGTACCTGTAGGCATGGTCAGCAATGGCGAACACGTGTGGGCTCACCTGCCCCAGTGGTACATTGCGGTACTGGCTCTTGAGCTGTGGGTGGTACAGGCAGGCCTCAGCCCACCTGCATGCATCAGACCTGACACGCACGTCCAGGTGCATGCACGCACACATGCTCAAGCACATGCTCTGACGCTCACGTACCTGTAGGCATGGTCAGCAATGGCGAACACGTGTGGGCTCACCTGCCCCAGTGGTACATTGCGGTACTGGCTCTTGAGCTGTGGGTGGTACAGGCAGGCCTCAGCCCACCTGCATGCATCAGACCTGACGCGCACGTCCAGGTGCATGCACGCACACATGCTCAAGCACATGCTCTGATGCTCACGTACCTGTAGGCATGGTCAGCAATGACGAACACGTGTGGGCTCACCTGCCCCAGTGGTACATTGCGGTACTGGCTCTTGAGCTGTGGGTGGTACAGGCAGGCCTCAGCCCACCTGCATGCATCAGACCTGACGCGCACGTCCAGGTGCATGCACACACACATGCTCAAGCACATGCTCTGATGCTCACGTACCTGTAGGCATGGTCAGCAATGGCGAACACGTGTGGGCTCACCTGCCCCAGTGGTACATTGCGGTACTGGCTCTTCAGCTGTGGGTGGTACAGGCAGGCCTCAGCCCACCTGCATGCATCAGACCTGACGCGCACGTCCAGGTGCATGCACGCACACATGCTCAAGCACATGCTCTGATGCTCACGTACCTGTAGGCATGGTCAGCAATGGCGAACACGTGTGGGCTCACCTGCCCCAGTGGTACATTGCGGTACTGGCTCTTGAGCTGTGGGTGGTACAGGCAGGCCTCAGCCCACCTGCATGCATCAGACCTGACGCGCACGTCCAGGTGCATGCACGCACACATGCTCAAGCACATGCTCTGATGCTCACGTACCTGTAGGCATGGTCAGCAATGGCGAACACGTGTGGGCTCACCTGCCCCAGTGGTACATTGCGGTACTGGCTCTTCAGCTGTGGGTGGTACAGGCAGGCCTCGACCTGTATACCCCAGGTCTGTGTGTAAGTGAGACTATATGCATACACACATACACACACATACCTGTAGGCATGGTCAGCAATGGCGAACACGTGTGGGCTCAGCTGCCCCAGTGGTACATTGCGGTACTGGCTCTTCAGCTGCGGGTGGTACAGGCCTGGCAGGTATATGAAGGGGTTGACTGCGATGAGAATGGTCCCTGTGTACGTCTGGAGGGGTTGGGGTAGGTTGGGATGGGTGGGAGAGTATGGGGAGGGTGGGCAGACAAGAGATTGAAGAGGATAGGGACGGGAATGGGATGAGCTGGCTTTTGAGCCGCGGGTGGTACAGGCCCGGCAGGTATGTGAAGGGGTTCACTGCGATGAGAATGGTCCCTGTGCAGGTCTGCATAAAAGGATTGGGGTGCGGAGGGTTGGGGGTATGGATAGGATAGACGAAGAATTGGAGAGGAAAAGAGAACTGATGAGACGGACCCAGCCCAAAACGACCCTACCCAACCCTACCGTATCTTATCGCATTTGTCAGCTTCCCACAGCCAGCCAACAACACTCGCTCGATATAGTCACAAAACCAGCATTACCACTCACATAAAATCGTGTTGCGCATGTAGCGCCTCTTGAGGTTATGCAGCAAGCCAGGCTCGTCCAGGTGGTCCAGAACACCTTTAGAGCCTACCACGGGCCATGTCATGCAGGTGTGTGGCCTGTGGTTGAGGCTCTGAAAACAACAGCACCATGGGAACAGCAAGCAAGCACTACCACTCACATAAATCGCGTTGCGCACGTAGCGCCTCTTGAGATTATGCAGCACGCCGGGCTCGTGCAGGTGGTCCAGCTTCACCATGTCGTCCTTGGGGTCCTTCTCCTCGTCCTCCTCCCTGGGGAAGCACTCCCTGGCTGGGATGAGCACCTGGAGAGAGGGCCAGGGCAAAGGTAGGACCTATGTGCGAGTTGCGTGGGGTATTGGGGCACCTCACATCACACATCGCAACAGGCCGGGCTCGTGCAGGTGGTCCAGCTTCACCATGTCGTCCTTGGGGTCCTTCTCCTCGTCCTCCTCCCTGGGGAAGCACTCCCGCGCGGGGATGAGCACCAGGAGAATGGGTGATGAACCGTGAAGGTAGGGGCCAGAATGGAGAAAGGGGCTACGTGTGGGTGGGTTGTGTGTGGTTTGGATTTCAAGCACCTCACATCAACATCCCATCACACATCAGAGCAGAGCACGCCGGGCTCGTGCAGGTGGTCCAGCTGCACCATGTCATACACTTGGGGTCCTTCTCCTCGTCCTCCTCCCTCGGGAAGCACTCCCTGGCTGGGATGAGCACCTGGAGAATGGGTGATGAACCGTGAAGGTAGGGGCCAGAATGGAGGAAAGGGCTACGTGTGGGTGGGTTGTGTGTGGTTTCGTTTCCAAGCACCTCACATCAACATCCCATCACACATCAGAGCACGCCAGGCTCGTGCAGGTGGTACCACCAGCTTCACCATTTCGTCCTTGGGGTCCTTCTCCTCGTCCTCCTCCCTGGGAAAGCACTCCCACGCGGGGATGAGCACCTGCGAGATGGGATGGGGATGAGGGAACTGGGATGGGAATACACTCGTGCAGGGGGTCCCTCCCACCAGCCTCCCCTATCGTCCTTAGGGTCCTCGTCCTCGTCCTCGTCCTTAGGGTCCTCGTCCTCGTGCTCCTCCCCAGAGAAGTATTGAGCAATCGGGCCGTCAAGGATATGTGTTTTCAGTGAGTAACTGCTGCTCTATCAGGAGCCACCCATACCTTGGCTTGGACCCCATCACATCATTTTCCAGGGTAATTTACCCACCTTGTCATCCCCCTTGGGGTCCACGAGAATCGCCTCGATGGTTTCCCCATTGTCCTGCACCGCCGTAACTTCAGCTGCAGCGAACGCCGCCTTCTCATGCGCCACCCATATCTTGGACCCTCCCCCCACAATATTTTCCAGGGTGATTTACCCACCTTGTCGTCCCCCTTGGGATCCACGAGAATCGCCTCGACGGTCTCCCCATTGTCCTGCACCGCCGTGACTTCAGCAGCAGCGAACGCCGCCTTCTCATGCGCCACCCATATCTTGGACCCCACCACGAAGCGCGCTGCCTCCGCGCCTGCTGACGTGTCCTCTGGTGCTGTCTCTTCCCCCTGGCCGGGAAAGGTTTGCAAGAGTTGATTGAAGATGAAAGGAAGTGGGGGAACGGAAGGAGGGGAGTTGACACAGTGTCTCCTCGTGACGTGTCTTCTGCTGCTGTGTCTTACCTCTGAACGAGTAGAAAAGGGTGGACGGATGTAGTGGGGGTGGGAGAAAGGAAGGGGAGGGGGGGAGGGAAGGGGGAAAAGGGAGCGCGGGAAGAGAGATGGGGGGGGGAGGTTGAGAGAAAGAGGAGCGGGGGAAGATTGAGAGAGAGGGAGGGGGGAAAATTGAGAGAGAGGGAGGGGGGAAGGTTGAGAGAGAGGGAGGGGGGAAGGGTGAGTGAGATGAGTGGGTGTGCGGGTGCGAGAGAGGAGGGATGGAGGGGGGTAAAAGGATGGTTGGGTGGAGCGTGACGCGGAGGAAAGGGGAATTGATTTGAAAAAAGGGACGTCAGCGAGAGTGGGAAACTGGAAGAGAGAGAATTCGAAGCCTAACTTTTCTGAACGTAACGTTCCTGAGAATCACGAACGAATTTTCCCATCCCAGTCACATTAAGTCTTCGAGTACGAGTCGCGAGTGTAGAAACGGGAACGAATCCTCCCAGCGAGAGTGGGAAACGGGAAGAGAGAGTCGCGAACGAATCCTCCCAGTCACATCAAGTCTACACTTTGGAAGCTGAAATCAGACCATGTACGCGATTTCCGTTTTGAGTACCGCCATTAGAGTGGCGAGTCGGCACTGACATGCTGTGTTTTCGAGCCGTCTCTGCTAATGTCTTCGATGGAAACGCCGGAAAATGCGGGAATGAAGCGGAAAATACTGGATGGGGACTTGAAGCGAACTGTTGATTTCTGAGAAACATTTCCATCCTAGGAGCAAACTCAAATCCGAATTCAGATAGACATCAAAGGCACTGCTTTGAAGCCTTCTGAGAGACATTCCTGTCCTAGAAGCGGAGACACTAATCACGGAGACGCTTTAGATCGTTCTGTCGCCTGGATTTTCCTTGAGAGCCGAGATATCGCGAAGAATCCCTCATGAAGACCCTGTGATCTCCATCTCGGCCAACCATTTCTGGAACATGTTTTGTTTCTAATCATTCTCAAAAAAAAAAAAAACACGAAAATGTGGAAGAGCTTCTCTGGACTGGCATAATGCCTCGTCCTTATGACATTTTCATGGATCGGACCTTCAGATTGCTCGTACCATTTTAAGTATCGCGATGATCTACGGCATCAAGTGGGAGAAATGAAGCACCCCGCGGAAGTTGATTTGCAGGAGAAGAAACTACTGGTCGAAACGACAGTAGATAAGGCTAGTAGCCGCAGGCGAACACAAATACAGTGAGGATAATGGGTATACGCGAAAAGGGAACTTGAGATACTGGGCAAGAGGATAAACCAGCGATCAACCAGCGATCAAGCAGCTGGAGATACCGGCTTGGCGTCCCATACGCCCGAGGACTACTGAACAGTTCCGTGATTCCTCAGTCTGCTGCTGGTGACTGGCCAAGTTCTGACTTAGCGAGAAAGGAAAGCTAGCGGTGTTGGCGGGAAAAGCTGGTGTTGTAGTTTCTCCTGTTTTCGAGCTCCACCGCGTTTCCAAAAGCAGGAAACAGCCGAAGTCTTGAGTGACAGGGTCGTCTTGAGTGACGAGAGTGCTCAGGTTTCACGACACACCTCAGGAGGCTCGACACAACGGCTTAGGGTGTAGAACACCCTGCAAAGCATCCTCTTCTTGGGACGTTCAACGCTCTGCGCCGTGTTAAGACTTTCTGCAACAATATTGTACACCAGTGTACCGTGTAAAACCCCTCGTGAAGTCCGGACTTGGACGCCATTCGCGCAGGGTGTTGCAGTTTTGAGAATCGAACGAGGATCTCAAAGAGCTGGCGAGTTCAGCCAATCAATCAGCCGACTATGAGTCCAGATTTTGAAAGACCTCCTGCGATGATTGGCTGGGCCTATAATTTCGGCCTCACAGAGCTCCATACACCCCAGGCATTCCCAAGGCTTGGCTCGCACATGCACGAACAGTGCGACCTGGCCCGGAACAGCATTACGTCACTGTTATCGGGAAAATATGTCAATGGTAACTTACATGGGGCACTGTAACGCGTACGGTAACGATTTCAACGCAATTGGTAACTCGCTTAACGCGTTTGGTAACTCGCTTAACACGTTTGGTCACTCGCTTAACACGTTTGGTAACTCTACACTAGCAGCCCATCACGCGAATGGTAACTACATGAAGTTCCCGCCGAAATGAGCCCGAGCAAAAGGAATTTATGAATTTTAAAAGCTTTTACGCACAGTACTATCCTTTTGAACAAGTCTCGCCGCGAATTTGAAGGATCCCGTTTGTTCTAATACCACGGACCACAAAGTTTCAGGGCCATTTTACACATATATGTAGCTCGTACAAAAATGGTAAATTTCTAAAATTTCTATAGCATGATTGCGAACTTGCAAAACGATTTTAAAAAGATTCCCGAAAGGACCTCGGAATTTTTACTGTTTATAATTAATGCAACGTTGGAGAATTTTTGCATGTGGAAAAAATACTCCTCTTGAAAATTACATGTTTCTTAATTTAAATAAAGAACCATAAACGCATGGTCGCAAGAAGTTTAAGGTTGTTGCTCTCAAATTTATCTGCCATTTGAAAGGGGTATAGATTTGTTTGCCCCGGCTGCACGATAGAAAAAAGTACAAACAGTTTGCGGAAGGAGCACCAGAGTATCAACTGTGTATAAACAGTGGTTTTCACAACACTTACGTTTTTGCAATTAGCTTGAAAATCGGAAAGTGTGTCAGGATTTCGGAGAGTGTGTCAGAATTTCGGAAACCTGCCAGAATTTCGGAGAGTGTGTCAGAGGTTCCTGCTTCATGATTCGTCAATATATTCTGACGCGAGCGGGAAAAACTAGAATTAGGCTCAACTTCGGCGGGAATTTCATGTAGTTACCATTCGCGTGATGGGCTGCTAGTGTAGAGTTACCAAATGTGTTAAGCGAGTGACCAAACGTGTTAAGCGAGTTACCAAACGCGTTAAGCGAGTTACCAAACGCGTTGAAATCGTTACCGTACGCGTTACAGTGCCCCATGTAAGTTACCATTGACATATTTTCCCACTGTTATCAGCCTCAGCCGAGCATAAAGTTTACTGTAGATGGAGTTTATCAGAACTGTACAATGATTAACTACCATAACTACTTTACTAATAATGGAATACATACTACCATCTATTGCAGTACTTCCCTGCATTTGGATAAATGCGCAGATGGGAAAAAATAGCCCCTTCCCTGTTGTAGGAATCAGGATGAAGAAACATGGGTCATCATGCAGGCGAGCAAATACATCACCTTGGCCACCATGTACCGGAAAAGTCAGGGCGCTTCTTCCTTGGTAACTTCTCATGCCTTGACGTACCACATCACGATGCTCTTTCGGATACGTGTGTGACCGTAATGGGCTCGATGGGGATCGTGATTCCAATGCTTGCCGCCGGGAGTCCAAGGGTGGGAGACAGAGGCCATACGAGGGAATTCGTCGAATTCTTCCATCAGCAGCCAAGGAACTGTCTGTGCCCAATGGTGAGCCTCTAATTGAACGCTGATGGTCTGCCAGCTCAGCATGGCCGGAGAAAAATCGCTGCAGCTCAGTATTCGATCCGCGTCTCATAGACGAATGAGCTCTGATGATGCTGCTGCTGCTCCTGGTGCTGCTTCTGCTGCGCCGATTACCGCTGCTTCGGGCCCGACCTAACAACCTCACACCATCAATCTCCTCGTCGTCACTGCTCTCCACATCGCCCAGGTTCATCAGAGAGGGACTCACACTGAGACCAGACAGAGATGAATTCAAATTCGACAGGGACAGGCTCACGCTCAAATCGGCCCGAGAAGGGCTTGAACCCAAGCTGGCCGAGGGTGAGTCTAGATCCGCCAGCGAGAGGCTCGAACTTGGTCTGGCCAGAGGTGATGCAGTAAGGTTCGCCAGAGACAGGCTTGAGCCTAGTCTGCGCTGCAAGAAGCGGGGTTGCGACGGCGATGAAGACTGGCTGAAGCTGCGTCCGGGCCTCCCGTCATTACTCCTCTCACCATGACTCCTCTCACCATGACTCCTCTCACCATGACTCCTCTCACCATGGGTCCTCTCACCATGGATCCTCCCATCATGGGTCCTCCTCTCATGGATCATCCCATCATGGGTCCTCTCATGGGTCCTCCCATCATGGGTCCTCTCATGGATCCTCCCATCATGGGTCCTCCCATCATGGGTCCTCTCATGGATCCTCCCATCATGGGTCCTCCCGCGACGAAGCTTCCGCTTCGTGGGGTTGCTAGCGGGCCAGTGCTGGTGTAGCGCGGCAGAGCATGACGCTTGACTCAACCTGCCGGCCGTCCAGGAACGAGAGCAGAATCCACCTGAAGCGCCACGTGTCGAAAAGTCATCGCTCTCATCAGGTGAATCCTCAGGCGATTCCTCAGGTGATTCCTCAAATCGGTCAATCTGGTCAACTCTGTCAGCTCGGTCAACTTGGCCAGCAGCGCCAACGCAGCGCCTCCTCGCCTCCAACAAATCCGAAGTCGACCGGCGACGATTCAACCGCCGCCGACCACCCAAAGCCAATCCGTCAGCCGGCAACGGAACCCTAAACCCCTCCTTCTTTCCCGCTTCGCCTCCTCTGCTAGCCCCCTCCATCCGCTGTTGTGCTGCGGACCGCAGCATGTCAACAAACTGCTGGCATTTCACCGCGTTCTGCTCGCGCTGTGCTGACTTTTCAGTCGGTCTCAAAAGCCCCCTCCATCCGCTGTTCTGCTGCGGACCGCAGCATGTCGACAAACTGCTGGCATTTCACCGCGTTCTGCTCGCGCTGTGACTCCAGCAGGTTCAGCTTGCTCTCGAGGCACAGCATATCCAGATTCTCCGCTGTAATGCCTCCTTCATCCCCTCTGCCTCCTCCGCTTCTCCCCCCTCCCCCGCCTCCTCCGCCTCCACCTCCGCCTCCGCCTCCGCCTCCACCTCCGCCTCCACCTCCGCCTCCGCCTCCGCCTCCGCCTCCGCCTCCGCCTCCGCCTCCGCCTCCGCCTCCGCCTCCGCCTCCGCCTCCGCCTCCGCCTCCACCTCCACCTCCGCCTCCGCCTCCGCCGCTGCTGGTGCTCTCCCCAAACGACCACCTTCTGTTGACTCGTCTTCCCAGAAGCTGGGAAGGCACCATAGGAGAGGGAGGATAGCCAGCAGCAGTGCTGAGATTACTCGAGCGACAGTGTGAAGCATCGGGATCTGATGATTCGTTCTCGAGTGCTGCAGCTGGGGTCCTGGCAGCACATGCTGCCGAAACAGAGTCGGAATCAGAATCAGAATCGGATCCTGAACCAGAGCTTGACTCACGAATGGCAGCAGCCGCAGTTTCCACGCAGCTTGAAGTCGGATCACCAACCCAGTCAAGCGAGGCTTTGTTGCTAGAAAGGTACAGCCACCGGTTGACAGATTGACCCTTTCTTCCATTCCATGCAGGGAAACCGTTCTCTGCTTC